GTGAGGCAGAGGCTGCAGTGAACAGAGATTGTGCCACAGAACTCCAGCCTGGGCGAGAAGAGTGAAACTCTGTCTCAAAAAAAAAAAAAAAAAAAAGAAGAAGAAAGAAATATTAATCTTACTTTTTGGTTTTTGGCTCTTTCATTGCTTAGAGTTTTAATGGTTAATGAGTCCCTGGCACCTCGATTCTTAGCTGGCCTAGAATGTTTAATTGACTATAAGTCTTTTTTAACTCTAAGTCCCTCGGCTACAGGGGTTCCACTGAGGAACAGGATGGACTTGGGACAGGTAGTCACACCATCCTGGAAATGATATGGAACAAAATAAAGTTTGGCAATCAATGCTCCCTCTGGCATATTCCAAGGGAACCTCAGTTTCCAAGAGATAAATCTTACCTGGGAAAAGGTCTTGCCCTTTGCCCTGCTGAGGGTGCTGGCAGCTCCCAGAAATAGGTTAGCTCTTAGCCCCTTTCAAAATGTTGACTTGGAGACCATTTTCCTGGACTCTCTGAGGCTTGAGGATTTTTTCCTCCCCTGAAACAGAAGCTAGGTCATACATGAAACAATTAGGGAATATATTAACTAGTCTCTCCAACAGGCTTCATTTTTGTATGGACGTGCCTCTTCTCTGTTTGAAACCAGGGAATCAAATCATACCGAAGACCCGGAAATCACACCAGACTGAAGACTAGCTGCAACCACAATAGGTCGGTCTTCTTGAGGTGCTGCTGACCACCCACTTGTCTACCAAGTTAGCCACTGTTAAACCATGAATTCAACATACTCAGTAAAACCAGTCACTCTGGGATCTCTCCAGCGGAAACAGTCATGCTCTTGTGAACCTACACATGGCTTTAAGTTAATAATTCAAAGCCCAACCAAAGATCCCAGATAAGAAACTGTAAAAGGAACATGCACTTTTCAGGTTGTTATTATTCTCTGTAGAACCACAGCTTTTCACATATAAGATATAATGAATCAGGAATACTTTTTGGTAGACTTAGGATTGTTCTCTTGGATTCCCCACGGGATCCACTCCAAATTCTCTGGTATTTTAAAATTGGTTTATCTATATTATTTATCATCCTAGTTCAATGTGGCCTCAAATGTGGTTCTAAAACTAAAATAAAAGTACCCCAATCATAGTGGTCCAACAAGCCAGATGCTGACCCGCTATTTATGAGTACTTCTGATTATAGTGCCACATTTCCATTCCTTATCATTATCGAACTTCACCCCTCCTCAGCATGAAGCAGCCAGAAGGATCAGCGACCAGATTCTCCATGATTGAGGAAGTGATAAATAGAAAAGAGAGACTGAAACCGGCCCTGTTGTCTCATAGAACTCATAGAATTCCTAGAGCTAATATTTACAGGTGGGTTTTTTTTTTTTTTTTTTTTTGTAACAGAAATGGACCCTGTCTGGTAGTCCCAGCTACTTAGGAGGCTGAGGCAGGAGAATGGCGTGAACCCAGGAGGCGGAGCTTGCAGTGAGCCGAGGTCAAGGCAGTGCACTCCAGCCTGGCCGACAGTGAGACTCTGTCTCAAAAACAAAAACAAACAAAAACAAACAAAAACAAAAAACAAAAACAAACAAAAAAACAAAAACAAACAAAACTTATTTGCTTTCCTGAGTTTCTTGCTCAGGAAATCGGCTTTCAGGCAAGGAACTGAAACTCCTCAGAGCACCATACCCAGAAAATGAGACTATAGATCCTTCAGTCAGCATGATTTTTTCCTTACCTCTGCCTAATTTCGATTTTCCCCCGGTCCACGTAGTGTCAAACTTTATAAAATATTTGAAGAGATTTATTCTGAGCCAAATATGAGAGACTATGCCCGTAACACAGCCCTCAGGAGGCCCTGCGCACATGCGCCCAAGGTGGTTCAGGTACACACTGGTTTCAAACATTTGAGGGAGACATGAGACTTCAATCAACTATAAACATTTACTGATTGGCAATTGGTTGAGTTTATCTAAAGACCTGGAATCAATAGAAAGGGAATGTCTGGGTTGTGATAAGAGCTTGTAGAAGTCAAGGTTTTATCATGCAAATGAAGTCTCCAGATAGCAGACTTGAGAGAGAATAGACTGTAAGTATTGACACCTGAGAGCTATAATGAAGCATGTTCGACACCCACTTCCTGTCATGGCCTGAACCCGTCTCTCAGGTTAAATTTTCAAAGAGCCCTAGTTGAAGACAAAGTCCATTCAGATGGCTGGGGGGCCTTAGAATTTCATTTTTGGTTTACCTCCCCAACACAGCTACATTTCTGCCTGCACGTAGCTACATTCCTTCCTCACCGAATAACCTCCCAATTTTAGTTTGTTGGAGAACAAACCCAGAATAAAGCCAATTCTAGTCATAGCACTGCAGCTTGTATCAGATGAAAGAAACCTACAAAAAGATAATTATAAAATTTGGATAAAACATATAAAACAACTGAGAAGGCAAAATTTGAGGGGCTCCAATTAATCAAGGTTTACTGCTTATATTCTATGTGACTGCCAGAAGAAAAGAAACAAAACTTTTTGGTAGGAAGATCATTTAAAATCTCTGTTTTTAATACATAAAGCCTGTCATTTAATTAAAAATTATGAGACATCCTAAAAAGTAAAAGAACTAAATATCAAAACACTAATTGACAAGTCAAATGATAAAAACTGACCTATATATGGTTCAGATAATGATATCAGTAGATCTACTATTCACCATTCTAATCCCTTTGCAGTGCCCTAGAATGCTGACTTTTATGTATAATATCCTTGGACACTATTGTCCTGAAGCTCTAGATATGTTTGTGCTAATAGGAAGAATAGGCAAAGATTTAAAGGTGGGAGAATCCTTCCCTACAGCGCTAGGAAATGGATATGGAGTTGTTCTCACTAAGTGTACCTCCAGGGAGGCAGTCTTCATCAGCTGTACTTCCTGCTGCTTCAGTTAATTGCTACCAGCATTAGTTCTCTCAGGCCTAATGGTAGTAATGGCTTCTCGCAGTAGCTAGCCCTGGGGTATTTCACTATCCCTCACTGGTTTCCTTTGGTCTTATCTACATCTTGTAAGTTGTCTTGTTATTTTATCTCCTTACATTTTCCTTTTAATGTATAACCTGTTTTTTGGTTTTTGGATCCCAAGTGTGTGTTTCCTTTTTGTACCTGAGTATATCACTGTCACTGCAGTCTCTCACCTTTTAAATGATGTGACTCTGAAGGTGTGTGTCTCCAACTTTTTATCCCTGTGCACTTTTCTTCACCTATCTTCATTTCTTTCTCTTTTTTCCATTATAACAACCCACAAAAAATATATAATTTAGGTAATGGATAATGTATCACTTATGTTTAATATTGGAAGACATTTGTAATTATATTTGCAGATTGTCTCTTAGTATTCAATTGGAATGAAAATTGATATAGGTTGATTTCATATCTCGTCTATTGCAAATAATGCTGCAATAAACGTGGGAGTGCAGGTATCTGTAGTATATATGCACAATGGAATATTATTCGACCATAAAAAAGAAATAAATTCCTGTCATTTGCAGAAACATGAGTGGAACTGAAGGTCATTATGTTAACTGAAATCAGCCATGCACAGAAAGACAAATATCACATGTTCCCACTCATATGTGAGAGCTAAAAGAATGAATCTCATGGAGGCAGAGAGTAGAATTGTGGTTACCAGATGCTTGGAAAGGGGTGGTGGGGGATAAAGATAAGTTGGTTGGGTACAAAAATAAAATTAGACAGAAGGAACAAATTCTAGTATTTGATAGTACAGTGGGAAAACTGTAGTTAAGAATAATTTATTGTATGTTTTAAAATAGCTAAAAGAGAAGAATTGTAGTATTCCCAACAGAAGGAAAAGGTAAGTGTTTGACGGAATGAATATTCTTATTACCCTGATTTGGTCATCACACATTGTATACAGGTTTCAAAATATCACATGTACCTCTAAAATATGTACAACTATTGTATATCAATAACAAAATTTAAAAAAACTGATATAGGCTGTGAAGGGCAAACCATTAAATCATCTCAGATCTCAGCTTATTCATGTGCATATAAATGTTTTAGCTGGCTCTAAACCAAGGATTTTGTATGAAGTAATAGTTATTCAAATATTTTCAACAAAATAGAGTACCTTGCAAACAGGACTTTGAGATTTTTCATTTGTTTCCTCTTACAATTCATCATATACTCTTCATCTTCTAGTGTTGATTGATGAAACCATCTTCCACATGAAACAACAGAGCAATATAACACAGAACGAGACTCTGCCTGTGTGGTGGCCGGTTTCCATCCTTTCACAAACAAAGAGATATTTATAAACAAATATTTATGTACAAATATTTGATCCACCTAGGAAAAGCAGAGGGCTAGTCTTTCCCACCAGGGGAGGCATTAGAGCCTGTGCACGTATTTGAACAAGGTAACTGGAGACTTTGGTCCAGTCTCAACTCTACCACTCACCAATTGTGTGATGTTGGATACAAACTTAACCACTTCGCAACTCACTTCCCCATCTGTAAAATAAGGGTGATAATAATACCTGGTTTAGAGAGTTGTAAAGATAAAATCAACATTAATAAAGTACTTAGGATGAAGTAATCATGTTTTGAATATATTTTCCTTTAAATTTGGCTGCCAATATTTTCATGATAATATTTTCAACTGTATTTCAATAGCTTTTTCTTTAAGCATCAGGAGAAAATCTACTATTGTTTTAATTAAATCGACATTGAATTTTTTGATACATTTAGGAGAATTTAGTTTCTTTTTATACAGTATTGATGCTTCTAATCCCACAGCATGTTTTTGTATTTTTTTTTCTTTTCTTCAATACTTTTAAAACTGTTTTGTTCATATTGGCTGTGCAAATATCTAGTTAATTTCTATCTGTAATATTTTCCTATTTATTTTTAGTAGCTCTTATAAAGGGAGCCTTTTATTTTTCCTGTCTATCCTGACATAATAAAGCAATTAGTTTTTAATTGATTTTTAAAAATCTTTGTGCATTCTCTTTTATATGTATGATAATACCTAACCATTTTATGGTTTACATGTGGCAATGTTAAGAATAATTTTACAGTAAGATTTACTAATGAATATTAGAAAACATACTCAAAAACAGTCCTCTCCACCCTCTCACTTCCACTTGCATACTTGATCAAGACATGAGATCAAAAATACTGAGACTATTGAGTCTAACTAATAAGACACAAATGTGGACTTTGGAGACTCATTTCCTTCCCACTTTTGGTAGCTTAGCTGAGGAGGCGATCAAATGGATTGAGTCAGTCTGTAGAGAGAGAGCAAGGCTGATTATAGTTTTCCTGGCCTGCAAAGCTGTTCCCAGAGCCCTCAGTATACAGACCTTGGTCATCAGTATACATACTCCCTGATGTGGTTTCTGGGCCTCAGATCCCTTAATATATAGGTTGGCGCTAAAGTAATTTTGTAAACATTTAAAGGCAAAAACCACAATTACTTTTGCTTTTAATGGCAAAAACCACAATTACTTTTGCACCAACCTATATCTTGTTATTTAGGGAAACTAGGCGTTCCCTACCTCTCTTGGGCAAACCTATAGCTATGTAACATGGCAATGGAATGACACTAACTGCCTCATTCTCCCTGGGAGTGCTCTCTGCATGTTCAGTCTCCCAGTGAAGAGAACCCTTCTATCAGGACCTTCATCATGATACAAAAGGAATATCTATGCCAGGCCACAGCTGCAGATCAGTGCGTGTCTGAGAACTGTATCTTTTCTGTTATTTTTCTGCTTGAAAGTTTTTCACCAATAAATCCTGCACTATGTCTGCACCATATGGTGCTAGTTATTTGTGTTCTCTTGCATGACACTAGTAATATTATCCAAACACAATTGCAAAAACTACTTTCCGTAGTTGGTAAATATACAGAAATTGAGAAAAAGGAAGAAATATGAGGAAGAAAGATATTGCGTGTTGCAACAGTTCAATGTTCTTAACTGAAGCCACAGATGAGACACGGCTCATTTGCAGACATATGGGTGATTGGTACAGTCAGTTTATGAACAGAAGTTTAAACTTGTAAGCTTAAGCTTCCGGTTATAAACAGAAGTTTAAAATTATAGGTCCTGTTTAATATTCAGCTCTGTTAACTCGCTCTCACCTTTTTGTGTTTTTACACTTTGTCAAGATTTCTTTACATATTCATCAATGTCTGAAGAAGTTACTTATGCAGATCTTAAATTCCAGAACTCCAGTGAGACAGAAAAAATCCAAGAAATTGGCAAATTTGGGGAAAAAGGTAAGATTTTGAGTTATGGATGTGTCATAAGTTTGTGTAATAGAAGTGGTTACAGCCTTGCATCTTCAGTATTAGTAATATAGTTATTATTCAACTTAAATTTTCAATTAAGCCTCTTATGTTTAAGCAAAGGAACCAAAAGTATATAAACAAAATGATTAGGAAAAAAGGGTTCTGTAAAAACACTTATCCGTGCATTGAAGGCTCAATCTTTTACATTTTTGAAATTTTTTATTAGCACAATCAATATAATTGGGACAGAATTTTTCAAATGATTGGGTTGTGTGAAGATTTTATTTCTTTATGAGATGAAGCCATGGAAAAAGGAACATGTTCAGGAAAGTCATGATTTCACATCTGTGTGTGTGTGTTTTTTTAATAAGAAAATGCTTTGGGTATGCATGCAGAAAAGAAAGAGAGACAGACAAATAGTCGGAGAGATCTTTAAAGGATTTCATTTGACTATCTGCCAAACTGGGCATATATCACCCTCAAATTTCTCCTACTTCTTTTGGAGATTTTTTAATAACTTACTAAAAAATAAAATATGTTAAGTTAAATGAAATGAATAACTAAGGAATAAAGGAAGTAAAGAAATATCAGAACATACAATGTATTCATAATATTCAAAACCACATTATATCAGGAAGCTTTGTGTTTTTCAATTCAAATTAAAATCATGAAATAAGTGGACCATCTGTGTTGACTTTCACTTAAACAAAACTACTCTTCATCTTACTCAGAATCCTATAGTTTTCCTATTATGTATGGTTCTTACCTTCTGGCTCCCAGCCTTTTGGAGTGAAATCTGCCCTAGTGAATCCATAGTTTAAACCAGTGTATTTGAGTTAAAAATAACTTAAACAGTGATAATGGAGAACACAAAGAAGGGTGATAGAAACAGAGAAATAAGGAGAGAAGAGTGCCAAAATTCTCATGTATTATTTAACTTGTTGTCCCCTCCCCTCTCCCCACACAGAATATAACATCTTTAATATTCTAGCATTGCTATAAACAGAAATTTCACTGTTACATCTTGAATCTATTTATCATGAGCATTGTAAATCTTGAGAAAGGACAGCAGATTAATTCTGTGGGCTTCTTTTTTAATACTGAATTTTTTTCAGAAAGAAGAAGTGTCTACAAATTTTACAATATTTTCTGTCTTTATTTCCTTGTTTGTATTTCTTCTTTTATATGCTGAAAGAGAATGGGCATATCATGAGCTTAATATTACCAACAATTGCCCTTTACTTGTCCCCTCACACCCTTTCCCACCTCTTTTCCTGCCAATCCACCTTAAGTTCCCACCACAATAATTCTCTGAATTCATGCAAATATCGAATCCATGTCTTCTTCATGTTCTGAATCTCATCTAATTTTCTCATTATGCAGCTTAGAATCTACATTATGTAATATAACATTGTATTATGTAATGTCTACTCTTAGTCTCTTACATTTCTCCTTTTCAATGTATGTTAATTTTTCCTTAAAAACTTCAGTTCTGGTTAGGGGCAGTGGCTTATACCCATAGTCCTAGCACTGTGAGAGGCCAAGATGGGAGGATTATTTGAGGCCAGGAGTTTGAGACCAGCCTGGGGAATGTAGAGAGATGCCATGTCTATAAAAAAAAATTTTTTTTTAATTAACTGGGCACCCATAGTCTCAGCTGCTTGGGAGCCTGAGGAAAGAGGATTACTTGAGCCCAGGAACTGGAGGCTGTGCAGAGTAAGCTATGATCAGGTGACTGTACTTCAGTCTAGGTGACACAGCAAGATCCTGCCTCAAACAAATCAAAACAAAACAAAACGAAAAACCCAAAAACCAACAAATAAAAACAACTCCAGTTCTGGTTAAACCCAAATATCTACCCAGTCTGCCCCAGAGTTGAATATTGCTGGTGAAAAATACACAAATTTTCAACTCCAGTTACTTTTACCTTTCCTCTGGTGAGGAAAAAGGCATCGACCTACACTTTTTATCTTTGGACTGACTAAGATCAAAAGTTAATGGGAGGATACCCAAAGACATTACAAAGAGACAGCCTATTTTGTTTGTTCTGAAGCTAAATTCTCATAATTACCTGGCGGGGGGGATACATAAACAACTGAAAGTGTTTTTCTTGACATGCCACAATTGTCTACTCAAGCAAAGACTACTCCTGTTGGCTACTCTGTTAATTTCCAGCTACTGACTTTTCCCAAATTTGTATAAACAAAATACACCATGTCTAGGTTGACTAGTTTTCTCCATTCTCTATTACAAATTCTGTTTTTGCTTATCTGATTTTTTAAATCAGTCTACAAGTTAACAGCTTCTCCTGCCAGAATCAATTTACATACAAAACAATGAAGTGATTTTGATTTATTCTTGACATATTCTTCAAAAATATTTTTTGAATATTCTTGAATGGCTAGTAAATCCATTTCTTTCCAATAGGCATATTAGGAAATAAAGATAAAATGAATGAGTGAATGAATGAATGAGCAAATAATTCAAATGAAAGTGTATACCATTTTCAGGCCTCTCTGTTAATTTTGCTTTCCACAGCACCTCCAGCTCCCTCTCGTGTATGGCGTCCAGCAGCATTGTTTCTGACTGTTCTGTGCCTTCTGATGCTCATTGGATTGGGAGTCTTGGGAAGCATGTGTATGTACTGCCCCTGTTTTGGTCAAAAGAGAAAGTATCTAGAATTTCAAATATTTAACAACTAAAGTTTATTCCTTAAGTGGAAGATTTATAATAATGATAGGTGATAGGCCCACAAGGGGGACTTACAATGTGGAACTCAGTCTCTTTCCCTCACTCCTGTAGAGTAATTGCTTTCCCTACCCCTTTGATCTTTATACTACTTCTGCAAATGATAAAGGATGATGGTTCTATTGAGAATTCATTTTTTTAATGTGGAGTTCACATTACTTTGAAGACAGCAATGAAAAAAATGAACAAACTACAAAATGTCAATGAAGAGCTTCAAAGAAATGTGTCTCTACAACTGATGAGTAACATGAACAGCTCCAACAAGATCAGGAACCTCTCCACCACACTGCAAACAACAGCCACCAGATTATGTCGTGAGCTATATAGCAAAGAACAAGGTAATCTTGGAGTTATTTATTGGACAATAAACTAAACCACTGAGTCTCTTAAGAATCATTTTATAATTAGCTAGCAGCCTTTCCCTAGGGAGTCATAATTCGGGGGAAAGAATTACATGTGGTTGATGGAGAATCCATTGATATTTCCACACAGTTAGAAGAAAAACAGAAAAAGTCATAATAGCAATAGGCCCCCAAATTATCAGGAGATAATGGTTACATAATAAAATGTTAGACAGGACAGTTTCTCTAATCTGTCAGTTACTACAATTATTCTGGGCACTGAGGTTAATAGAAGATAGGGAGGAAGTGACAGCTCTTTACAGGTGACTTCATTCTTAAATTTCAGTCAGTGATTGATAACAAATTCCATAGGAAAAAATAAATAGAGACTTCACCTTTGGGATCGGGGGAGTTGGTCTTCTAGTGTCTCCGTAAGTTTCTATAGTCATGATTGCTAAAACATATTCCTTTTGCTCCCAAGACGCCTCAAAATTTCAACAGTTCAGAGAACAAAAATTAAAGAAGATAAGATTTGTATAGATAGGTGGGGTTAATTCTTACTATGCAGAATGTTTCCTGTAACTAGTTTGTATTGTCATTAAAGAATATAAAAAATAGCAAAGAGGAATTGTTACAGGAAGATACACTTGAATCCAAGGGCTTCATTTGAAATGTTTTTGTTCAGGTTGTGGGTCTGACACATTATGGTAGTATATAAGGAACTAGAATACAGGATTCACTTACTTCCCTTTTGATGTAAAAAGAAGACACAGCATGTAATCCCAGCTACTTGGGTGGCTGAGGCAGGAGAGTTGCTTGAATCCAGGAGGTAGAGGCTGCTCTGAGCTGAGATCGTGCCACTACACTCCATCTTGGGCAACAGAGCAAGACTCTGTCAAAAAAATAAATAAATAAATAAAAAGAAAGAGAGAAAGAAAAAGAAAGAAGAATAAACAGCAAATGTGGTCAATGTCACACAGAGAAGAAAGGAAATAATAAGAATTATTATGACTATCAACAAAACCTAAATAAAACTATGTTCTTCTTCCAGAGCACAAATGTAAGCCTTGTCCAAGGAGATGGATTTGGCATAAGGACAGCTGTTATTTCCTAAGTGATGATTTTCGAACATGGCAGGAGAGTAGAATGGCCTGTGTTGCTCAGAATGCCAGCCTGTTGAAGATAAACAATAAAAATGCATTGGTAAAGCCCAGGTGTTTCTGCCATCATGGGACAGAAAGGGGTGTGGCATGTTGGAGAAGACCTCAATCAACCCACTCATGATTCTGGTTTATTTTAGTTGGGGTGTGAAGTGACTGAAACTTTGTACACTTATCTCAAGATTATCATAGGCAAGGTAAAACATATACAAGGTTAGGACCTTAGCATAATAGGATTACTAGATGACAGGTAGATGAGTATTACAGGGCACCCAGAATCTAAAAGTCTGTAAGCATTTCCAAATTAGAATCTAGAATCAAATCTCAGAACATAATTTATAAGCATTTATCTAAAAACAGAGGATATGGAGATTATTCCTCAGGGTTAGTAATTCCGTAAGAACTACATAGGAACATATGTTTTGTTTCTACCATTTTGTAATTTTTAATTCACTAAGAGAAATAGGCAAGTTATAGTAGGTTAGCATAAAATATGTACAAACAGGAAGAACTGAAGTAAGATGGCACAGGCAAGTGTCAAACAGATATATTGCACTGAGTCCTTGAATCCCAGGAAAAATGTGTTTTCTAGCAGCTTTATTGATTTATTCATTTTCTTAGTTTTCCATGTCTAAATAATGTTTCCATGTTGTACTTACTACACAGCATTTTTGGTCTCTCAAATCGTAATCATATATTTTTAAGCAAAATTATATTTTCTAAAAGTCTCTGCTTCCCCACAGTGAGAAACTTTCATCATCCTTTCTAGAAGAGAGAAATCAACCCATACTCTCTTCCTCATCAGATCATTCTCAAGGACCCATTCACAGTTACTTACTCTAGAAAAATTTTCTAAAGGCTGGAATAAGAAAAAATCCTGTTATTTGGCTACAAAATTCTGGACTGGTTCTGAATTCTGTTCTGTAACCACGCACATCTGATTCTGTGGCATTTTCTTTCTACTCCTTCTGTTTCTGTTAACTCTTGTTTATAGCCATTGCCCACTTCCTTTGGCCCTGGACACAATATTTACTGCTCAGAATTTTGAACCCTGAACTTGTCATTGCGGACTTTTCATTGACTGTAAATTAAGGTTATACATGGATTAGTAGGGCCTCTCTTCTTGTGAGACCAGCTGTGATATTGTTAAAAATGTTGAAATTTTATAGTAAGGAGTACTTTCTTTCAATTTCTTATAATGACATTTAATAGTAGTAGTGCAATGTCAAGTATGTTACCTTAAAGCAGCAATTTGTAAGAAATTACATTCTAATGTAAAATACAAAAGTAGGAGACTGTTTCTTAAACAGACCATCTGTATTTCCTGTAGGAATTTATAAAATCCCAGAGTATGTCATATTCCTATTGGCTGGGATTATCTCCTAAAAAAGATGACAGTTACAGTATGAGCGTGGATAATATAATCGACTCCTCTGCCTGGTAAGTGTCTATTCTTGTTAAAATTTTATAGTTGGGTTTGAGTAGAGGTATTTTCCTTAGGAGCACTGTAGATTCAAATTAAAACCAGCTTCAATTGAAATGAAATTGCATCCTAAAAGCACCCTTTTCTATCATGCTTCTTTGATGTATTTTCTAATACAGAAAGTTACCATAAATGTCTTCTATAATTTTGACAAGTAACTAACAAAATTACAGCAGCCAAATTATGGAGAACTCTGTAAATAATTTTATCTAAGAAAAATTATGGAAGCCCAGAAAAGTCACTGGACTAACAAATACTTAATATTGTGCTAAGTTTTAGGGTTCAAAGATGAATGAAATATTGATTCATCACTAAAGTTACTTAACCATCAATTGTATGTGCAGACTGATTGAATGATGCTAGAGATAAAGAGAATATAGTGTGATAAATGCTTCAAAGAATACACAGACTAACAAAATATAAATTTTAGCAATGATACTTTTGTTATAAATGACACTTGAAATGGGCATTTTAAAAAGTTTATGGATTTGGGGGTACAGTTGCAGTTTTGTTATATAAATATATTGTGTAATGATGAAGTCGTGTTTTCAGTGTAACCATTACCTGGATAGTGTACACTGTACCCAATAGATAATTTCTCATTCTTTATTTTTGTGACACAATCCTACTTTTTGGAGTCTCCAATGTCTATTATTCCACTTTTTATGTGTATATGTACATATTATTTAGCTCCCACTTAAGTGAGAACATGCAATATTTAAGTTTATGTTCCTGAGTTATTTCACTTAAGAGAATGATCTCCAGCTTTATCCATTTTGCTGCAAAGTCGTGATTTCCTTCTTTTTTATACTTAAGTAGTATTTCATGGTGGATATACTCTAAAAGAAAACACGGTTTCACGTTTTCTTATCCAATAATCCGTTGATGGACACTTAGGTCAATTCCATGGCCCTGCTATTGTAAATAGTTCTACAACGAACATTTGAGTGTAGGTGTCTTTTTTAAATATAATAATTCCTTTTCCTTTGGTTAGATACCCAATAGTGGAACTGCTGGATCAAATGGTAATTCCGTTTTTAGCTCTTTGAAAAATTGCCATAGAGTTTACACTAGTTTCCATTCTGATGGTTGGCCCTACCTCTGGTGGTTGACAATGATAGGATACAATGGGAGATAAGCTATCTACAAATGGAGTGGAGAAGGATATATATTTTAAAGGCCTAATTTGTAGTGAAGGACTAGAGACAAAGGTAATGTTGTGTCAGGAGAGAATACAGATGGAATCTTGTTTTGAAAATGTAGAATATGTATGTGTTTGTAATTATTGCAAATGGAATGGTAATCTGTAATGGAATGGAAAACATTGTAGATATTTTCAATTATCAGAAAGAAAACTGAAAAAAGTATATAATAATTGTATGTGTGATATATATATGTGTGTGTGTATATATATATGTATATATATCTTATTTTCATTTTTTAATTCTGTGTTGTTTTGGGGTTTGTTTCTGAAAGGGGGCCATAATAAATGACATCTGTACTATGTCACCACAAATAAATCTCATTCTTAAAAATTTAATTGATGAACTTATTTACTGCTTGATATCATTTTTTTTACCCAAACATTGATGCTAAATTAATCTAAAAGATAATATTTTTAATTTATAAATTTGTTTTTAATGCATAGTCCCTGATCACTAATCTAGTATTTATGGGCTGGTCATTAGAACTTCAGAGTAAAGGCCAGGCGCGGTGTCTCACGCCTGTAATCCCAGCACTTTGGAAGGCTGGGGCAGGCGGATCAGGAGGTCAGGAGATCGAGACCATCCTGGCTAACATGGTGAAACCCCATCTCCACTAAAAATACAAAAAATTAGCCGGGCATGGTGGCAGGCGCCTGTAGTCCCAGCTACTCAGGAGGCTGAGGCAGGAGAATGACATGAACTCAGGAGGCGGAGCTTGTAGTTAGCTGAGATCTCGCCACTGCACTCCAGCCTGGGCAACACGGCAAGACTCTTGTCTCAAAAAAAAAAAAAAAAAAAAGAACTTGAGAGTAAAATCTTTTGAAAATGTCACTTAGATATGATGTTGAACTTAAGGTGTCATACCTCAGGTGAATTCCTGACTTTGATGATTATAAAAAGCACTTGAGGGAGACAGGGTCCAAGACTTACTTACTACTGGGCCAGCTAGACTAGAGAATCTTATGGAATGGTATTATTCCAAATTATATTATACATGAAGGGGCTGGGGTGCTAAGTCTGTAAGCAAAGGACAGCAAATATCAGATGTCAGAAAGTGGAAAAAACAGGGAGAAATGAAGCAATATTTGACATTGCATATGTGTCAACATAAACAATTAACTTGGACATTCTTGATACTCTGAACATTAATTAGATTTAGTTTAAACAATACAGAGTCTAGGGCAATAATATCATGTTGGAAGTGTAATTTTTTTTTTTTTCTGTGAATGTGTTTCAAATATCTGACTTGCCAAGTGTAATTCTTTACTTTCTCTTTCAGGGTTATAAGAAACGCATCTGACTTAAATAACATATTTTGTGGATACATATATAGAATATATGTTCAGTATGCTTACTGCACTTATAGAAACAAAATGATATGTGAGAAGATGGCCAGTCCAGTGCAGCTTGGTTTTATACATTTTAGGGAGGCATGAGTCATCAATCAAATACATTTAAGGAGAGTGGCGGGTTGGGGTTCCAGGCTATAGGTAAATTTAAATATTTTCTGGTTGACCACAATTGGTTGAGTTTGTGTAAGGACCTGGGATTTTATCATGCAGATGAAGCATCCAGGTAGCAAGCTTCAGAGAGAACAGATTGTGAATGTTAATGCTGGGGAGGTATAATGAAGCATGTCCCTCCTCCCACTTCCCATCATCGCCTGAACCCTGGAGAAGAGGAAGTCCATTCAGATGGCTGTGGGGGGGCCTTCGAATTTTATTTTTCATTTACATTCTTCCCCTTCTGGCCAAGATTTGCCAGAGGCAACATCCAAGACCAGCAGATTTTAATTTTGTCCCATAGCATTGCCAGGGTGGCATGGCTCGCCATCTCCGGTCCATCCTATACTCCATGGGACTCCCTATAGCTGAAGGCCTTATGAGTCAAAGGACTTTTAGCCAATTGATTGTTCTAGGCCAGATAAGAATGGATGTGGACATGCATTTATTACCTCTTAAAATTATTATTTTAAGTAAAAGCCAATAAACAAAAATGAAAAGCCAAGTTGTGAGACTGACTTATTTTTAACTTCTGTGTGTTGAGCTACTGTAAACTTGGCTTTTGTTAAAGATATACAGCAATCAGCTATGCAAGCATAAGCATTGTTCTGAAAAAAAATATATATAGACATGTTTATCTTCATAACTCTTAACTGGGAGTATTATACCCAAGAGGCTTTGTTACAAGGTATTTTTTATCCTGTTAGTAAATATATTCCTGTAATTCTATAATAAGCAAAAAAATTTTCATGGTTGGGGTAGATGCAAAAGTGACACATACTCGTTTAGAAAGCAACTCAACTTGTTTTACCAGATGTTTAGGCATTTTTGTACCCCTCCTTGATTTGGAGGGTTTGAGCTTGACCTAATTTTGTTCTTTAAAACCAGCCTTTACAATATTATGCCCCCTCCTCTTCTGTGACAGTAACTGGGCCTAGAGGGAAGCGTGCTTGTAGAGTTTTTGCAGCAGAGCATTTACAGTGAAATACAGATCCCGGCTCAATGGAATGCCGAAATGAGGGAGAGCCACGTAAAAATACGGAATTTGTATTTTTAATCCCATTTCTATTAAAAATACAAAAATTTGCCAGGCATGGTGGCACACTCCTACAGTCCCGGCTACTCGGGAGGCTGAGGAGAATCGCTTGAACCCAAGAGGCAAAGGTGCCAGTGAAGTGAGATCGCACCACTGCACTCCAGCCTGGGTGACAGAGCAAGACTCCATCTCCAAAAGAGAATTAATTAATTAATTTAAAATGCAGCAAGAATGGATTGGCCATATAGGCTTCTTTAAGTTGACCTTGACTAAACTTTACCTAAAAATATGCTATTTTAGTTAAAGTCTTAGTAAAATAACCAGTGTCTCAAATTCTTTTGTTTTAAAAGATGCTTTTTGAATTTATGAAAATAACCATAGTGTCATAAAATCACAGTCCAAATTTTAGAACTCAAAGAGAAATATAAATTTGCTTACAAAAACATACTTCACTCAAATAACTCAAAAGAAAAAGATTTTATTGACCTTGCTTTAACCAGAGCAGGAGCTTTCAAACAATGTTTGTATATTAGGGAAATGCTATTTACAAGCCAACAGCTCATGAAAGCTGTCTATCAGGCATGATAGAATCTAGGAAAGAGGCTCCCTACTTATCAGTACTTTCTCCTAATATCCCCAGGTAGCAAGATTCTATGTAAATCATTTTTATTTTTTTGTGGAACTCTTTCGAGCACCATCATTTTTATTAGCATAGGGATAGCTTCAGTTAAAATTCCATAGCAAGGCAGTAAATGCCTCTTAGGTGGAAATTCTCAGTTCAGTATTGTCATTGGGAAGTATTTACAGTTTTTTGCCATTAGCCCCAATAAATGTGCCACAAATGGCTATGAAGAGGAGGATTTGTCCCAACTAGCACTCTAGCTTCTACCCAATACTTTGTGGGCTCAGGCAATTTTACTAGTTCCCATTCAGCGTGTTCAATTAAAATTTACTAAAAGAGCAGATTTACATGCCTTCAGCTTTGTAGTACTAGAAAGGGGAAACATCTCCCAGTCAGATGTAGTACCCATTTTCACAAGACATTTAGGTAAAGGGCTTACAACTACATTCTATAAAGTTTGTTTAAATGTCTTAAATTTTATATTTCTATTAACCTGTATGTTTTCGCTTGTTTTTTTTGTTTTGTTTTGTTTTGTTCTTGGCCCCAGATCATTTTACCTTTTCTTTCTTTTTTTTTCTTTTTTGAGACAGAGTCCCACTCTTGTCACCCAGGCTGGGGTGCAGTGGCATGATCTCAGCTCACTGCAACCTCCACCTCCCTGGTTCAAGCGATTCTCCTGCCCCAGCCTTCCAAGCAGCTGGAATTACAGGTGCCCACCATCACACTTGGCTAATTTTTGTATTTTTAGTAGGGATGGGGTTTCACCTTGTTGCCCAGGCTGGTCTGGAACTCCTGACCTGAGGTCATCCACCCGGGTGTGTTGGCCTCCCAAAGTGCTGGGATTACAGGCATGAGCCACCGCGCCAGGCCTATTTTATCTTTTCTGGTGAAAAAGCGTTTGGGTTCCCAGCAGGGAGCTGCATCTGTGAGACCTATAAGGAACAACAGATTTGATAAGGCTCCTTCAACAGTCCTGTGATTCTGTGGGAGGGGCACCAATGCAAAAGGGGCTCCCTGAACTCCAAAATTTACCTTGACCTGGGTAATAGGCATATTTGCCGAGAGGATAACCCGGTTATCATAAAACCAGCCCAACGTGGTTTTTGTGTGAAGCATATGAACTGCTTCACCTGGGGGGATTCACTTGGTATTTTATAGGGAGAGTTGGGCAGTTTTCTGCTGATACGGTTTGGCTGTGTGCCCCGCCAAATCTCATTTTGGATTGTAGCTCCCATAATTTCCACGTGTTGTGGGAGGGACCTGGTGGGAGATAATTGAATCAGGAGAGCGGTTTTCCCCATACTGTTCTCATGCTAGTGAATAAGTCTCGTGAAGTCCGATGGTTTTATAAGGGGGAACCACTTTCACTTGGTTCTTATTCTCTCTCTTTCCTGCTGCAATGTAAAACATGCCTTTTGCCTTCCCCCACAATTGTGAGACCTCCCCAGCCACATGGAACTATGAGTCCATTAAACCTCTTTTTCTTTATAAATTACCCAGTCTTGGGTATGTCTTTATTAGTAGCATGAACATGAACTAATACAGTAAATTGGTACCAGTAGAGTGGGGCAGTGCTTGTAAAGATACCCAAAAATGTGGAACCAACTTTGGAACTGGGTAGCGGGCAGAGGTTGGAACAGTTTGGAGGGCCCTGAAGAAGATAGGACAATGTGCATCAGTTTGGAACTTCACAGAGATTTGTTGAATGGCTTTGACCAAAATGCTGATAATCATATGGACAGTGAAATCCAAGCTGAGGTGGTCTCAGATGAAGATGAGGAAATTGTTGGGAACTGCAGTAACGGTGACTCTCGCTATGTTTTGGCAAAGAGACTAGCAACACATGTTGCCTGGCAATCCCATCCCCAGCAAAGTCTCACCGTAGCCTCAACCACTGAGGAAATCAGACACCAGTGATGCTAATTACAGCTGAAGAAATCATATGGAGACTACATTATTGAGCTCACCTAGAATCAAAGCCAAAGCACCCTACTCAACCAATACTATACATACATCCATAGGAAAAAGTGTTTCCCTGTGAAAGCCAATGCATAAAATTAAAGGAAACAACCATTACATCAGATGTGCAGATACCAACATAAAGCACACAAGAAACATAAGAAAATGTGGAAATATGACACCTCCAAACAAACCAGTAATTTTCTAGAAAAAAATTTCAGAAAAAGGAAATTGATGAAATAATTTAAAATTATGATATTAAAGAAACTCAGTGAGATATAGAAGATGGTAAAAATTAGGGAAACAATTCATGATCTGAATAATAACTTTAACAAAGCAATAAATGTCACAAAAAGTCAAATAAAAATCCTAGATTGGAAGAATTTAATAAATGAAATAACATAATATAATTGACAGCTTCAACAATAGACAAGATAAAGTAGAATAAAGAATTTCTAACCTTGAAGATAAGACTTTTGAAATAACCCAAACAAAACAAAAAGAAGAAAAAAGGATGAAGAATTCTACATGACATAGGGGATACCATAAAGGAAGCAAATATTCAAAATGTAGAAATTCCGGAAAAAGAAAAGAAGTGCAAAGACATAAAAACCTTTAACAGGCTGGGCGTGGTGTCTCATGCCTGTAATTCCAACACTTTGTGAGGCTAAGGTGGGAGGAGTGCTTAAGCCCAGGAGTTCGAGGCTGAAGTGAGCCATGATCACATCACTGCACTCCAGTCTGAGGAGTTCAATGCTGCAGTGAGTCATGTTCACGCTACTGCACTCTAGCCCAAGAGACATAGTGAGACCTTATCTCTAAAAAACAAAAACAAACAAACAAAAAACCAATTAAACAAAATAATAGCCGAAAACTTCTCAAGTCTTGCAATAGATATAGACCTTCAGACAAGGAATTTCAAAGATCTCCAAAAAAATTCAGCCTTAAAAGATCTTACACAAAGCACATTATAGTCAAACGGTCAAAAGTAAAAGACAAATAAAAAATTCTAAAAACCTCAAGAGCAAAGTATCATGTCATATAGAGGGGAATTCCCATTAGACTAAGTGAATTGCTTTGCAAGAAACCTTACAGGCCAGAAGAAAATAGAATGCTCTATTCAAGCTGCCGAAAGAGAAAAAGTAACAGTCAAGAATACTACAATCAACAAAACTGTATTTCAAAATGAGAAATGAAATCTCCCAAACCAGCAAAAACTGAGAGAATTAATTATCACTAGACCAGCCTTCTAAGAAATGCTTACGGGAGTCCTACATCGGGAAATAAAAGGAAGATATTTACCATAATGAAAAAATATCAAAGTATGAAACAGATTACTATAGCAGACTCACAAATGAGAAAGAAAAATGAGACAAATGTTACCACTACAGGAAACCACGATAATAAATAATAAGAGAGAAAGAAAGGAAAAGGCATATATAAAACAATCATAAAACAATTAGCAAAATGACAGAAATAATTTATTGCCTATTAGTAATAACCTTAAATGTAAACAGATTAAATTTCTCAAGTAAAAGATGTGGACTGCAAAATAGATTTTAAAAATGATTCAACTATGTACTGCCTACAAGAAACTGACTTCAACTGTAAAGATACACATAGACTGAAAAGGGATGGAAAATAAGAATTCACACTGCATATCAAAAATGAGCAGGAGTAGCTATACTTATATCAGATAAAACATAATTTAAGTCAAAAACCATAAAAAGAGACATAAAATAATTACATAATGATGAAGGAACCATAACAATCTGAATATATATGCACCCAAAAACAGAGCACCTATTACTAGTATATTTAGTAATATTATTAATATTACTAAAGCAAATATTCCTTCCTTTCTTTCTTCCTCTCTCCCTCCCT